TATTGCCCAACTCCCCCCCCCCGGTATAGCTGTATGGGGCTGGACTACAGAGCGGAGAGGGAGGAGCCATCCCCGGAGCACTCTGCATAGTCCCTATGTCCTGGTGGCAGATGGGACATGTAGTCATTCATTTCTGCGATCCCAGGATTGGATGACAGGGCTGTGTGGGCGGAGCTAAGTATGTCATCTCATACCAGAACTCTGCATGGATCAGAACCCCGCCATTCCAGTAATGAGGGGGGCGGGGTGGTGCCAGAGCAGGTGTCCACCTGGTTGATGTTGTCATGTGACAGTGTCCAGGCATTATGGAAGAGTCCCATTGGGGGGGATTTCCCTTTAATTCATGTAGTGTAGCTACAACAGGAAGTGAGGAGAAATCTCTATAATAGGAGGGAACGTCCCTCTTAGATGGTGGTCACCAGAACTGGATTCCACCTGGGTGATGTGGTCATGTGACACTGTCCGGGCCTCATGCATTATGGGAAGAGTCCCCCAGGGGAGATTTCCCTTCAATTCATGTAATGTAGATGCAACAGGAGGTGAGAGGAAATCCCCCCAAAGTGAGTTAACTTTCCTCTTAGATGGTGGTCACCAGAACAGGTGTCCACCTAGCTGATGTTGTCATGTGACAGTGTCCGGCCCTCATGTATTATGGGAAGAGTCCCCTTATGGAGATTTCCCTTCATTTCATGTAGTGTAAATGTAACAGGAAGTGAGAGGAAATCTCTACAAAGTGAGGGAACACTCCGCTTAGATGGTGGTCACCAGAACTGGAGTGCACCTGGTTGATCATGTGGCAATGTCCGGGCCCCGTCCATTATGGGAAAAGTCCCACTGGGGAGATTTCCCTTCAATTCATGCAGTGTAGATGCAACAGGAAGTGAGAGGAAATCCCCCCAAAGTGAGTTAACTTCCCTCTTAGATGGCGGTCACCAGAACAGGTGTCCACCTGGTTGATGTTGTCATGTGACAGTGTCCAGGCATTATGGAAGAGTCCCATTGGGGGGGATTTCCCTTTAATTCATGTAGTGTAGCTACAACAGGAAGTGAGGAGAAATCTCTATAATAGGAGGGAACGTCCCTCTTAGATGGTGGTCACTGGGTGATGTGGTCATGTGACAGTGTCCGACCTTGTGCATTATGGAAGTGTCCCACTGGGGAGATTTCCCTTCAATTCGTGTAGTGTAGACACAAACAGGAAGTGAGAGGAATTCCCTCCAAAGTGAGTTAACTTCCCTCTTAGATGGCGGTCACCAGAACAGGTGTCCACCGAGCTGATGTTGTCATGTGACAGTGTCCAGGCCTCACGCATTATGGGTGGAGGTCACATGCTCAGCACCAATACAATAGGTCGGGGGATGGGTTCTTTGACCTCAGTGAACAGACACCGGAGTCCCTCAGTCCTCTCCATATCTTTATTTACCCTGCTTTCCCCTTTAAGGGTCTGAACATGTTTCAGGAGGTGGATTTGCCCCCTTCAGATACCCCCCGGGGTCGGAATACCAACGTCTCATCTTTGGTTATCTGTTGGGACACCCGCAGGCCCTCCCGCAGCGCTCCTTCTGCTGCCACAGCTCGGACAGCTCCTGCGGCGAGTACTGCGGCGAGCTCAGCATCCCGCGCTCGCACGTCTTCTCGCACAGCCAGTTCTGGTCCTGGTAGCGCCGGGGCCCGACGGCGGACATCCAGATGCCCATGCTCACGTCCTCCCCCTGGTAGGTCTTCAGCCGGTCGGCGTTGTCGGCCAGCCAGCGGGCGATGTCCTGCGAGATGACGTAGCCGGAGCCGCAGGTGAAGGGAGGGTAGGCGGGGCTCAGGTACTCCAGCTCCTGCCACTTGCCCGTGCGGTCCACCCCCCAGTTCAGGCGGAAGTTGCCCCACCAGGCGTTGGGCCCCTTCAGCCTCCTGGCCTCCAGGGCCCGGAAGACATTGTCCAGGTCGACGAAGCAATCGTCGTCGGTCTTGAGGAGGAAGTCGAAGTCTACGGAAGCCGCCAGCCAGCGGTAGAACAGCAGCAACTTGCGCGGCACGTTGCGGTAAGTGTCCACCACGTCCACGAAGACCAGGTCGCCGTGGGCGACGCTCTCCTCCCGCAGCTTCGACTCCTCTGCCCTGAGCGCGGCCCGGTACTCTTCCAGGCGCCGCGGGCGGCCGCGCAGATGCTGGAGGAGGGCCTCGCCGTCGTGGATGGTGTAGACGAAACCTCCCGCAATGCCCTCCACACCCTGCGAGAAGTCATAGGGCAGAAGCCCCTCCTCCGCCGTGATAAGGCGCAGCACCCCGCCGCCGTCGTTCAGGGCGACCTGGTGGACGTCCCACACGGGTAACCCCTCCGGGTCGTGGCTGTCCCACCGTATGGTGCCGTGGAAACCCTCCGGAAGGATAAACTGCTCCACCGGCTTGTAGCACGTTTCGGCGGTGGACTCCGGGCTGGTGGAGGGGAGCCAGGCTGTGGCCCCGGGGCTGTTTGGGGGCACTCGGGAGGGCGTCCCAGGGCTCAGTGGGGTGAAGCGGGCTCCGCACAGAGGCTCCTCGTGTTCAGCCTGGAAAAGGCGGACGCTGAAATTGCGGGTGGTCCCCGGGCACCAAGCGCCCAGACGGGTGATGATTATGGGGTGGAGCACCCGGAAGGTGACGCTCAGTTGGGTGTGGGCGGAGCTGGAGGGCCGCGGCCCGGTGAAGGCCGGGATCTCGTGGTGAAGTCTGGGGGAAGTAATATTCAGCAGGCGGCAGGAATAGGGGTCCTCCCGGTCCTCGGGGGGCACCGGGCAGGGCTCAGAGCCCACAATGAAGCGCAGGAGAGGCTGGCGGGGGCTGGGGGAGCCCCAGGTGTTCCGGATCGCGTCCCGCAGTGGGCGGTGCTGGCGGGCTGACAGGATGCCAATCACCAATGGGTGGCGAGGAGTGGAGAAAAGCCAAAGCTGCAAGAGGAGCCCCAACACACCGGGACACACGAGCAGCAGCAGCAACCGACGCATCTACCCTCACATGGGACACCAGAGAGCCTCCAGCCAATAGAAGAGCAAGCCTGAGGTCAGCTGATACCGAGGAGAGCCAGCTGATTGGAGGAGAAGAGTCTGGATGTTTCTAATTCAGCACAGGGAGAACACTGTGATTGGCCGAACATTTGCTGGCTGCGCCGCTCATCCTATGAGAATGAAACTCCCATCTGATTGGCTGTGATCTACTGGAGGGCGGGACGGGCTGAAGATTTCTGATTGGCTGATGGCGTCACATCCTCTCTGATGAGATACGTCTGTCTGTATGGGAACAAAGCCAATAATCAATAAATATGATCACACAGAAATAATACAGCGCTATGGTATATGTCAGCGCTATAGGTGTGTGTGGTACAGGTGGCGGTGCTCCTGGGTCTCTCTGTACAGCGCTATGGTATATGTCAGCGCTATAGGTGTGTGTGGTACAGGTGGCATACAATGTGATGTGAAGGAGATACAATGTATCTGATGTCAGCTAATTGGAAGTCATGGATAGAGGAGCTCCGTGTTCCTGAGTGTACAGAGATAACATACAGGCACAATGTATAACACAGCTCTCCCTGCACAGGGCTGACCTTAAACTGGGGGGCCACACTCTGCAGCCTCTGTGTAGATGCCTCCAGCCTGGGCTCCCGGAAGGGCAGGAAGTTGCTCTGCACCTTTGATTGGTCTGCTGAGCTGTAAGTCGGGTTAAGGGCGGGCTGTGGAGTGTGTGGAGGATTGTGGGAGGTGTAGTCTTCCTTCTTTGCTCTACACTACAGTCACCTATGGAACCGCGCTCATTGCGTGTCTACTCCAAAATGGCCGCCGCCGGCCGTAGTCCCTGTGGATAGAGATTGACCTCTAGTGTCTAGGACGCTGTCATAGGGTACCGCGTTCATCGTTCGTCTAATCCAAAATGGCCGCCGCCTGTCGGAGTCTTAGGGGACAGAGATTGACCTCTAGTGCCCGAAGTGGTTTTTCGGGTCATGCAGGCATGCTGGGAGGGAGGAGAGGTGTAGATATAAATAGAAAGGGCGAGGCCCGCAGAGTGACAGAGGAGAGGCCGCAGTGTGCACACTGACGCTGCAAGTACAGATTAACACTTTCTCTGCCAGGCAATTTGTTTGCATTTCACAAATATGTTAAAATGCAATTTTTTTAAAATGTAAAAATACACTGAGAACTCCCCAAACTCCTCCTATAATAATTCCATAGAAAATATATGTCAGTTTTTTATTTCGCACTGCAAATAATTTTAGTGCGCACAAACACAAAAACATTTCCAATTTTTTTTTTCTACATCACCGGAGCCTCCCTCAGCCTGGCCAGGCATACATCACCAGATCCTCCCTCAACCAGGCCAGGGATACATCACCAGAGCCTCCCTCATCCAGCCCAGGGATACATCACGAGTCTCCCTCAGCCAGGCCAGGCATACATCACCAGAGCCTCACTCACCCAGGCCAGGGATACATCGCCAGATCCTCACTCACCCAGCCCAGGGATACATCACCAGAGCCTCCCTCATCCAGCCCAGGGATACATCACGAGTCTCCCTCAGCCAGGCCAGGCATACATCACCAGAGCCTCACTCACCCAGGCCAGGGATACATCGCCAGATCCTCACTCACCCAGCCCAGGGATACATCACCAGAGCCTCCCTCATCCAGCCCAGGGATACATCACGAGTCTCCCTCAGCCAGGCCAGGCATACATCACCAGAGCCTCACTCACCCAGGCCAGGGATACATCGCCAGATCCTCACTCACCCAGCCCAGGGATACATCACCAGAGCCTCCCTCATCCAGCCCAGGGATACATCACGAGTCTCCCTCAGCCAGGCCAGGCATACATCACCAGAGCCTCACTCACCCAGGCCAGGGATACATCGCCAGATCCTCACTCACCCAGCCCAGGGATACATCACCAGAGCCTCCCTCATCCAGCCCAGGGATACATCACGAGTCTCCCTCAGCCAGGCCAGGCATACATCACCAGAGCCTCACTCACCCAGGCCAGGGATACATCGCCAGATCCTCACTCACCCAGCCCAGGGATACATCACCAGAGCCTCCCTCATCCAGCCCAGGGATACATCACGAGTCTCCCTCAGCCAGGCCAGGCATACATCACCAGAGCCTCACTCACCCAGGCCAGGGATACATCGCCAGATCCTCACTCACCCAGCCCAGGGATACATCACCAGAGCCTCCCTCATCCAGCCCAGGGATACATCACGAGTCTCCCTCAGCCAGGCCAGGCATACATCACCAGAGCCTCACTCACCCAGGCCAGGGATACATCGCCAGATCCTCACTCACCCAGCCCAGGGATACATCACCAGAGCCTCCCTCATCCAGCCCAGGGATACATCACGAGTCTCCCTCAGCCAGGCCAGGCATACATCACCAGAGCCTCACTCACCCAGGCCAGGGATACATCGCCAGATCCTCACTCACCCAGCCCAGGGATACATCACCAGAGCCTCCCTCATCCAGCCCAGGGATACATCACGAGTCTCCCTCAGCCAGGCCAGGCATACATCACCAGAGCCTCACTCACCCAGGCCAGGGATACATCGCCAGATCCTCACTCACCCAGCCCAGGGATACATCACCAGAGCCTCCCTCATCCAGCCCAGGGATACATCACGAGTCTCCCTCAGCCAGGCCAGGCATACATCACCAGAGCCTCACTCACCCAGGCCATGAATACATCACCAGATCCTCAATCACCCAGGCCAGGGATACATCGCCAGATCCTCACTCACCCAGCCCAGGGATACATAGCCAGAGTCTCCCTCAGCCAGGCCAGGGATACATCACCAGAGCCTCACTCACCCAGGCCAGGGATACATCACCAGATCCTCACTCACCCAGGCAAGGGATACATCACCAGAGCCTCACTCACCCAGGCCAGGGATACACCACCAGAGCCTCCCTCATCCAGCCCAGGGATACATCACCAGAGCCTCACTCACCCAGGCCAGGGATACACCACCAGAGCCTCCCTCATCCAGCCCAGTGATACATCACCAGAGCCTCACTCACCCAGGCCAGGGATACATCACCAAATCCTCACTCACCCAGCCCAGGGATACATAGCCAGAGTCTCCCTCAGCCAGGCCAGGGATACATCACCAGAGCCTCACTCACCCAGCCCAGGGATACATCACCAGAGCCTCACTCACCCAGGCCAGGAATACATCACCAGAGCCTCACTCAACCAGGCTAGGACTATATCATAATGGCCTCACTCAGGTCAGGACTACATCACCAGGTCCACACTCAACAAGGCCACTACTCCACCAGTGCCTCACTCGGCCAGGCCAGGACTATATCATCAGAGCCTCACTCAACCAGGCCAGGGCTATATCACCAGAGCCTCACTCATCCAGCCCAGGGATACATCACCAGAGCCTCCCTCAGCCAGCCCAGGGATACATAGCCAGAGCCTCCCTCAGCCAGGCCAGGGATACATCACCAGAGCCTCACTCACCCAGCCCAGGGATACATCACCAGAGCCTCACTCACCCAGCCCAGGGATACATCACCAGAGCCTCACTCACCCAGCCCAGGGATACATCACTAGAGCCTCACTCACCCAGCCCAGGGATACATCACTAGAGCCTCACTCACCCAGCCCAGGGATACATCACCAGAGCCTCACTCACCCAGCCCAGGGATACATCACCAGAGCCTCACCCAGCCCAGGGATACATCACTAGAGCCTCACCCAGCCCAGGGATACATCACTAGAGCCTCACTCACCCAGCCCAGGGATACATCACTAGAGCCTCACTCACCCAGCCCAGGGATACATCACCAGAGCCTCACTCACCGAGCCCAGGGATACATCACCAGAGCCTCACTCACCCAGCCCAGGGATACATCACTAGAGCCTCACTCACCCAGCCCAGGGATACATCACCAGAGCCTCACTCACCCAGGCCAGGCATACATCACCAGAGCCTCCCTCAGCCAGGCCAGGACTACATCACCAGTGCCTCACTCACTCAGGTCAGGACTACATCACCAGGTCCACTCAACCAGGCCAGGACTCCACCAGAGCCTCCCTCAACCAGGCCAGGACTACATCACCAGAGCCTCACTCAACCAGGCCATGAAAACTGTACCAGGGTCTCACTCAACCAGGCCAGAGCTTTATCACCTGTGCCTCACCCGACCAGTGCACATCATCTGAGGGGGGAAAAAATGTATTTCCCCTAAGATCTCGTGAGATTTTGCAACGTACAGATGAGACTTCCCAGGAGGACAATGGTGATGTCACCTTTCTAGGTTGCATCTGTGAGGCCAGGGCCACATCACCAGAGCCTTACTCAATCAGACCAGTGGTACTGCACTAGGGCCTCACTCAACCAGGCCAGGGCTACATCACCAGGGCCTCACTCAACCTTGCAGAATCCCATAATGTACTGTACATGTCATCACTATGCCAACATGTAAACAATGATTCCCGGCCTGAATTCTGGCAGCACATGCATGGGATTGGCAGTGTGCTTACACACCCAGCACACAAGGAACTGCCTGAAGACTATATGACCTTCATGTCTGAGCACTCTGCAGGCCGTGACTATGTCATCCTCACCTGGGCCAGAAAGATGGACGTATGGGGACTACTACAGGGGAAAAGAAGGTAAAATAGGGACCAAGGGGGTAATACGGAATGCTAAAAATGTGCAGAACACGGGTGACGGTGCACCTACTGAACGCTGACTCTGAAGGTTCCCTTCCCCCCTCACTTTCATTTCCCCCCTAATCATACACGGAGACATGGCCTGCGCTGTTCATTCTCGGCTTGCCTGCCTGAAGCAACCCCCTTGCACATGTGTCATCACAGCCGAACCAATCTGAAGACTATGGGCCCAGTAGATGACCAGGAGAAGATGGAAGCACCAGAAATGGGGTGCGGAGGGGGAAGTGTTGACATCCCATTAGTGGAGGAGGTCCTTTGCAGGCTAATTGTGCCACAATGTGCAGATATGCTGACCATGGTAAGAGCTCCCGTGGGCACCAAAATTGACATGTGGTCCAGTTCCATTTTAAGGAGCTTGCTGAGCAGAAAAAGACTTAGGGCCTGTTCCCACCACATGCACTAGGGCCACC